CCCCAAAACCCCAAAACCCCAAAACCCCAAAGTGAGGATGGAAGGTTGAAATTTTATTTTTTATGCGAATTTTGGAATTTAGAGTTATCTTCAACCTCTCTTCTAATATCAATGGTACGATCATTCAAGCAACCTTAACTTATTAAACTATTAATTACTATTTCTTCTGTTTTAAATCTCTACTTTTTAGAAATGATAGCAGTTTTTATTAATAAGCAAGAAGATGAGATCGCTTATTTGAGTTTGTGAGCACAGTAATCTCTACTTGAGTCCTTCCAATTTTTCCAGAATCAAAACTTAATTTAAGAGAAAAACCAACTTTAAGAAGAGTTATTAACAATTAATCAACTTAATTTTGCACTGATTTGTTCAAGTTTGTGCTGAATGAAGTCAAATTCTTCTGAAGAAAAGATCTTCTCAATTTCATTGCTATTCTTTGAAGAGAAGCCACTGTTTTTCCTGGAAAATCATATATTACTTTATCAAAATCGGTGTTTTCGTACTTATAGCCAACTCTTAGAGCCTTCTTGAGCTTCTTTATTTCTCTGACAGAAAATTCTAATTTTGAGATTTTCTGAATTCGAACAATTAGCTTTTCTGGTTTCGATCTCCATCCAGACCGATCTCAAAGCTCTTGAACTCCATCATGATATTTCAGATTTGGATCAATACGTAATGTGAGGAGCTCATCAAGAGTGAGAATATGCTCGGCTTCCATATCTCTAATAGCTTGAAACAAGAGCTTATCTTCAGTTTTGCCCCATCTCCTTTTACGCACATTGCTTGCTTCCTTAGCAATTGTAGCTGTAGGGCTCTCAGATCTAGGAGGACCAATACTAGGCTCTTTAGTAGTCCCAGTATTAGCTTTATCTACCCAAAAAGATTTCTCTTCTACCTTTGGCTGTGTAAAGTTCTGTAAAATAGAGAAATCAGGAAGCCCAACCTCAGGAAGAGCTTCAATGAATCCAGTAAATTGGGGATTAAACAATGCATTATTGCTAACTTCTCTGTTTAAATTTGGAGGCTTTGATAAGCATAATTGTATGCTTTGTGGAATATCTGAATTTTCAAAATTGTCATCTGAGATATATTCTACTATAAAAGTATGTCAGAAACAGCATTTGGGAACAGCTTAAGGGATTCAATCATTACTTTCGAACTGAGCAAGAATGTTTTTATAGAAATTAAATGCAATCTTGGAAGCTGTTGTATTGGTAGTATATCTAAGTTTCTACATCAATTAAATTTATCAAAAAATTCCAGAGAATATTATTTTTAAAGTAGTTGGTTTGTGAGACCTAGTAAGAGAATACATAATCTCTTGGGTGATGCATGAACTTAACCCCTAGAAGTTTCTAAAGAGTCCATTTCATTGAACAAATCTTGCGTAATTAGGTAGGTGAAATCAAGTAAGAATTTAATCTCAAAAATGAAAATCTACCGTTTACATTTAAAATTTGAATTTTCGGAATTATTTAACATTAGGCTTACCTTTAAATCAGAAAGGATTCTCATCATTACTCGCTACCAATGACTCAACATTACCAAGTGAATAAGTTGATGAGTGAAGCATCGCCAAATAATACTATAAGTTTCAACCAAAAAATCTCTTATGGGGTTTTGGGGTTTTGGGGTTTTGGGG